AAGTCAAAAAAAGTGGTAAGTCCGTGAGAGAGAGAGGTGTCTGGAGTCTTTTTCAAAAAGTGATAAAGTGTTGAACATCTAGAATTTTAACATTAAAACACAGACTATAACTGAAACTCTATGCAACTAATGCAAGTAGAAGAACCTCCTTGTAACCTTTTTAACCCAGCAGGAGAGGCGGAGGACATTGCACGCATCATTGATGTACTATAACAATTAACAACAAAGTGGTATTATTCAACAAACAAACCTAAAAGGCAAGGGCTACATGAAGGGCCAATAGAATACCCTCCTCAAAAGTTATAGAACACTACCACATAGGCTAAAAAGTTATAGAAATCTATCGCTTGTAGAGAAGAAAAGAAGAGACTGCAAAAGAGTTTTTTGTGCTTTTAGTGGAGTATCATCTTGTAACTCTGTATTGAGCTCATATAGAAAAATCTAATTATTTTGTTCGAGTATTTATATTATGCTATCTTGCAAAACTTTGTGAAGGTAAGTATTTTTAGCTTGGAGAGGTTGGAAATAAAGAAATTACATGGTTTTAGGTTTGCAGAATATAGGATTGAAGAAAACTATTCAGTTCTAATTTGAAGAGGTTAGAATCCATCAAAACTACTTGTTTCTAGTTTGGGGATTTTTTTTTTTCCAATACAGCAGAAGTACCGAACTCAGTACTCTTTTTTTTCTAAATAGGAAAATTTTTCTTTTATTTGAATTCAAACTTTTGTCTGTATTTCCCTTAATCCCAATAATTTTCCTCTGTTGGAATGGATGTAGGTACTATAGTAGTATCCAAAAAGCTCTTCTAGGGGTGACTAAGGTTGGTAAAAGAATACTCACTTGATAGTGAAAAATCTTGGCTTGGCTAGAGATTAAATGTAAGTTCCACGTTAGAGTCAAATTAGCTAAATAAACTTATGTGTGCAAGCTCTCTCTAAACCTTCTCTTTTACATTATCTTGCTTGACTGCTATTTGTTTGATTTTCATGTCTGTGAAAGATACTCCATAGTTATTTTTTTGAGTTTGCAATGTGACTAGCAAGTTTATGTTTCTTTCATAAGCTATTTAATCTCGACACTAGTTTTTTGTTCTAAGTATTTTCGCAGCGAGTTAAATTTGGTGGGAAGACTTGAGAACTTGAATCAAATATCCTTTTCATGTCTTGTTTTATTATCAAAACTCCTATAATTTATTCATTAGGTTAATTATTATCTAAACCCTAAACCTTAAATCATCATTAGTCCATTTTATTAGATCACAGAAAGCCTTCTAACATTGGCCATTGGGCCATGAATCGAGCTGGGCTTTGCTAGCACGCATCCCACCGAGGATCTCATAGCTAGTTGCTCATAATGAATCGTTGGGCCATGAAACTTATTTGTACCACGATCAGTCACCTGGTTGCTCAGCCTTCAAATTCTTCACCTGATCTTTTATCTAAGCGCATTAGAAATATTCTAGCCAGTGTTTAAAAACTCGGCCCGGTCATCGACCCGACCGAGGTCAGGGGTGACGGAGTCACGGGTTCAACCGGAAGGTCAAGGGGTCACTACACTGACCCGGTTTTATATGTTAAAAATTTATTGTTATAAAAAAAAAAAAAAAAATTTTTTTTTATAAATATATATCCTATATGAAAATATTAAAAACTAAACCACCAATCATCAAAGATCCAAAATATGCTTAACATAATTCATCAATTACAACCACAAGTCAATATTACACAACCTAATTAAAGTATCAAAATACCAAAGTACAAAACTCGTATTCTAATGGGGTCACTATGTGAACTCAGTTCTGCCTCTTTTAAGAAGGTCACTGACAAAGGAAAATTTCAAAGAAATAAGAATGAGTTTTTGTTTTCCATCAACGACTGTAAGGATTTCATTTGAATGGGTAAAATTCTTTCCTTTTCTAGAAGATTCACGGTAGCGAGGTGAAGATTGAAAACATCTACGCCGCTTGGAGAGAAGAGAATGATTAGATTTAGGTTTGCAAGCATTTTTATTTTTAATAAAACGACGTTATTTCTTGGAATTTTTTCTAAAAAAAAAACATGCAGTGACCCCCTTTGACCCCTCTGACCCAGGAGTCACTGAAACCCGGCCGAGTTTTGGGGGTCGGAGGGGTCGATGTGCATATAGGGTTCAACTTGAGACCCCAACCCTCATAGGGGAGGGGTCAGGGTTGACCCGGGTTAACCCCGGGGGCGATGCGGGGTTTTAAAACACTGAATTTCTAGCTAGGTTGAAGGGGCAGTAAAGAAAATATTATATTTCCATATTTTTTTCACCTTTGTACATAATTCTTGGCTACATTATAGATTACTGATTTTATTAATTGATTTGACATATTGTAATTAGCTCAATTTTAGGATCTCAACCTCTTCTTGTAAAGGTATCACCTATTCTCGATGAGAGCATTCCAACGAATACATTGAGTTAGAAGGGTGGATAATATTATGTAAGGGTTCGCTTTGTCTGCAGATAAGTTATCTGCAGTAAGTCAATACGACGTCGTTTTGGGACAGAAATCATGGTGTTTTTATAATTTTAATTTATTTCAAGGTTATAATAGTCTTTATATTTATAATTTTTTAAGATTTCAATACCAAAACGACGTCGTTTTGGGAATAAATGCAGATAACTTACCTGCATTAACTGCAGAAACATTTTTCCTGTAATCTAACAAATTCAATCTAACAACTTAAACTGATAAATGATATTACATTAATAATTTTATATTAGAATTCTCTTTTTGAGAATGAGAACCAACAAAGGCATTGGCATGAAATTCACCGCGGAATGCCCATTACCACTCTCAAAGGAAAATCTTGTGGCTATATATCCAGAGTTCAGACCCGAGAAACATACAAGAAGGGAGACGGCAGCTTATAATAAAAAAAAAATTATTGTACATTAATTACAACATTCAGCAGTGCGCACGTGTATGTAGGTATTTTATGGTCAAGCTAGCTATGGATTTTTGGCAAAGTAGTGGAAGTATAGTCTTAAAGTTAAGTGCTTTGAAGAATCAAATGCAATTCTAGGAGGATAATGAAGCGCCATCACAACTTGTTTGATCAAAGCCTGGTACAGCTTCACTATTGGGGGAATGCAAGGCCAGCCCTTAATCAGAAACATAAGGCACTTTGCATAAAAACATAAAAAAATGGAGAATAACTAAAAGCTAGTCAGTGCATTACATCTTTGCAATATTTAAATCCTGGCTGCGCCGGAAACCTAAGCTACCTATGATCGAACCTACACTTATTTATCATTTGCTCCACAGATGATTATAAATATAGTTATGTCACGCATCTAATTAACCCCACAAGCTACTGAAAAATGAGGTCACAACAACTTGGAAGACCAACGCGATTTCGGCCTAAAAAAGGGCTTAGCTTATAATCAAATCACAATTCATAGTTGTCTTGTCAAGTAGCTAGTGTAATTAACCATTGAGGCTTATACATTAAGTTATAGTTAGACAATAAAATGAACTAAATAAAGGGTGTAGGAGTTTCAATATATGGATGCCAATGTTACTATGATGCCCCCCATGCATTGTCCGGTCACTTCCTTTCTCCAGAACCGAAAGACATGATCTTTGGTGGTGTTTGGTTTGGAGTGTGCGTATAGAGATCACCATTAGATGACCGAAGTTTTAGGTTAGGGTAAATTCCCCCGTGACTCCTTTTCATCTTAACAAGATCATACATTTTACCAAAAGAGTAGAACTAGTAGTACTCAAAATTAACTGGACTTCCAATTCATCAGTGGATCTAAAGCTTTTCAATGTACAATTATTCAAGCCACAATGATCATAAAATAGAAACTAATCCGTTCTGAAGTTGGTCAACGCTAGCTGGAGAAGGAAACTAATTTTGAGTCTCATACATGGCCAGAAAAAAAAAATGATAGAGAAGCATATGCATGACATGACATATAAACATATTCATGACTGCTTGCAATGGGAAATATAATTTATGAGGAAGTAAGCATTTATGTTTTTTCTTTTTGCAAAGATTTACTTTAATTTCTTTAAGTTGCTATATATGCAGAGGAAAACTTAATGAAGACTAGTTAGTTCATTCCATTCTAAAATATAAGAGAAGTAGATGAAGTTCAGCCTAAATATTCGATCATTCAAACAAAAGTGTTGTATGCAAATGATTGTTGAGCATCATCACTAGCTGGAAGATCTACCAGAGAATAAAACCAGTTGCTCTATATAAACAAGCTAATCACCCCATATATACTGTTGTACATACCAATCTCTAAAACTAACGCCGTAAAGAACCACCCTTTTATTTATTACGAATCCCTAGTTTTATATTGCATCCATTTTAATATACCTAACGCACAAACACTAATTATCATTTGATATTAATTTATAACATTTGTGAAACCAGCTATAGGGAAATTGTATTACCAAGGCGGTATATGTTTAAAATATAGATAAACCAACTAGAAGAAATTAAAAGGCACGGAAATAAAGGACAAAGAGGGGGTGGCTTGTTATCGATTTGCGACTTGCCAGTTATTGCTTCATGCCTAACAACAACGAGTTCCTTGAAACACGTAGCTAAATGCCAGTGTTAATTTAAAAGCTGAATCCTCAAGCATATCAGAAAAGAAAAAAAGAAAAAAAAAGAAGAAAGAAAAAGGAGAAATAACCAAGATACGAATTATACGTACAGTGTTGTTCCATATAATAATGGACAAAGGAAAGTAAAATCCCAAAGATCAAATAAAAAACCAATGAGTCACTAGTTACGCACCACTACATAATCATCATCCATTAACAAAAAGAGAAGAAGAAGAAGAAGAGAAGGAGAAGCATATCATATTATATATATATATGTAGTCCATGAATTTTGCTGACCTTATAATAACCTGAAATTCCTTGATTAACATCTCCAACGATAACCTTATAACTCGTAGCGAGAAAAAAACAAGAGAGAGAGTGATCCCTTATAGAAAGGACATAGCCCTTAAAATGAAGGACGTGCAGCTGAGTTTCCCGCCCAACCATCCACTGGTAACTGAACATTCTGCATATTCAATGGCAAATTGAAGAACGGGAGACCGGAAGAAGGGTCAGGGAAAGGGTTGTTGTTTCCCACGCCACCGCCACCACCGGAACCTTGAGAACCGGTAGCCGGTGGCTGCATCTGAAGCTGTTGTTGTTCCTCATCGTCCAACGGCAACCTCTCATAAGCCACGTTGGTAAACGAAGCAGCAATCACGATCACCGGCCCCGCCGCTGTCAACTCTCCGACCACGCTCCCTCCTACCACCTGTCCCTGCCCTCCGGCGAGGTATATAGTGAGGCTAGTCGCTCCCGGCGGAGCCGGCGGCGGAAGGAAAGAACCTGAGAGGGATAATATCTCGAACCTCCCGTGGAGGGTGACGACGGCTCCAGCTGCCGCCGGTTGCCGCAGGCTGACATTGGTGACGGTGCCGCTGCCGCTTAGGATACAGATCCCACGCTGGCGCCGCCGCGCGTAGGTGGTGACGCAGTCGAACACGTCGGAGCCGCTTCCAACTTCGAGAATATGAGCCCTGAGAGTGTTGGCGCTCTCCCTCGTGATGATCACCGGCGGCTTCGGCTTGTTCTTGGAGCCCGGTGGCCTGCCACGTGGACGGCGGCCGACGATGTCTCCGGGTCCGGCGGAGACTAGCTCGAGGCCTTGGCTTGGATCATCGTCTTCGGTGGTGGAAAACGGTGGTGCACCACCGCGATTCTGTTCTTGTTCTTCGGAATCGGGATGGTGTTGGTGGTGGTGGTGATGCTGCTGAAGGTGCAAGTCCGGTCTGTGAAGGTTTTGAACAAAGCGTGAAGCAGTTCCTAAATCCAAACCAGCCATAGACACATCAAAGGAAAAGAGAGAGAGAAAGATAAATATAGAAAAAAGAAAAGAAAATTAAAAAAAAAAAACGAAAAAACAAAAGTTATATATATAATATATAAGATGAAAACAGAAAACAAGGACAATGATTTTTATTATAGATAATTGTTGTTGTTGTTAATAAATATTGAAGCAAATTTTGTTTTGGTTTAAGAACACTGTTTTTTTACCCTGCTTTTCTTTATGTTTATTTTAAGGGAAGTGGTGTGTGTGTGTGTGTTTGTGTGTGAGTGTTTAGACACACAGAAAATAAAAAAAGAAGTGAAAGGAAGGGAAAAAAAAAAGGTGGACACAGAGAGAAAGAGAAAGATGAAGTTGAAGATGGAATAGAAAAAACTGATGAGGGTTGATTTAAGAAAGACAGAGAGGAACAGCGATGGATGGAGTGCAGAGAAAGCAAAGGGAACAACAAGGAGAAGCAGAAACAGAAGAAGAAGAAGAATGAGAGAGAAATGAACAAAACGTAGTCATTTGTTTGGACAACCTAAAGTTTAATATAATAATAGACATAATAAAATAATAATTTAATACGCTTTCTTTCTCGATTGTGTTCATCACTTCTGTTTGAGGAGCGTGACCTGGAAGCGACCTTAAGTTAATTGGATTTAATTAAACATTTCCAACAGATGAACTTTTATATAGGCATTATTTGGGTACGGTGAGACTCAATTTTTTTTTGTCATACTGCACTTCTTAACTTTGATATACGTATTCTAATCATCTATTTAAGATGAGGTGATCCCCTAATACTTTTATAAGTTTCAATTTTTAAAATTAATTATGTGATTAATTTTGAATTGGGGTTTTGTCACAATGCCCTCTCAAAAAATGTATTTATTAATAATTTTGTATTTAGAAAGTGTTAGTAAAAGCAGTATTATCTATGATTCCAATCCTAGATACGATAAATAAGTTCATGGAAATTATATAGGTAGCAAACCGGTGTTTATTTGTAACTAATTTTTTTTTTAAATGTTTTGTGCTATTATTTATTGGAATAGGATATTGTAACAACCAAATAATGTTACTACCAATGTTACTACCACATCTTAATCGTTGATTTCCGCCGATCAACGGTTATCATTTTTCAAATCAAACTCATTAATTAATTATTAATTCGCAATAAATGATAACCGTTGATTGACGGAAATCAATGGTTAAGATGTGGTAGTAATATTGGTAGTAACATTATTTAGTTGTCACAATATCATATCCCTTATTTATTTCCTATTGCAAAAATTGCCAAAAATATTTATTCTTCATTAGTATTTAGTTAATTTCCTATTGTAATTGTGTTTAATTCGCCTGTGTATATAGGAAAATGTTATATTTCGAGAAAAGTTATATTTACAACTTTTTTTTTATAATCTCTTACAACCATATCTTAATACCGTTGATTTCTGCCAATCAACGGTTATCATTTATTGTGAATTAATAATTAATTAATAAATTTAATTTGCGAAAATAATAACCGTTGATTGACGGAAATCAACAGTGTTAATATATGATTGTAAGAGGTTGTAAAAAAAAGGTTGTAAGTATAATCTTCCTCGATATTTTACTACCATTTTAATTTATCACTTTTACTATCTCTTTAGTTACCGTTGGATCAATTTAAAATCAACGATTAAAAAAAATTAATATGATAACTGAAGAGGTATTAAGAGTGATAAGCTTAAAATGGTGATAAATATACTGAGATACCGATCCTAGTTATCTCTTTAAGGCGAGTCGGTCCCGAAACTAATTACCAAGTATAAGTATTTATCTTTTATTGTTTTACAACAATAATACACACGCACGAGCACAACACATTAAAATAACTACGATTATTTATGAGCCATTAACTAACTAACTAACTAAGCTCATCTCCCTCAGACTCCAGGTTATCTTTGAATGCAGACAGTAGTTTGAGTCATTTTTGGATAATTGAAATGGATGTGTTTACAGAATCAGAATTTTAAACAGGACTCCACATGTTAGATAATATGAATGCTGATCATATTCGGAAATTGTTATTGGTCTTTTACACCTGAAGGTAATCATTGCTCAGATGACATGGTTAGTTAATGCACTAAATTGTTGGGATAAAATTAATTGTTAAATGAGGAAAATTTTTAGCTTATTTTAAAAAGAACGTATCCAGATTAGTGAATTTTATAATAATAACGTTATATACAAAAACTTAACTATACTCAGATTAAAAATAAATAAAAAAATGCAACTTAACATCACTCTGATGTAGCTAGGAGATCTCTGTATAGATTGTGTTCTTCTTTTATTTATTCGATTTTTAAATAATTTTAGTATGTGTCCATAGAAATCAATTTAAAGGAACAGAGTTCGATCCAAATAATACGATTGTTGAGGATTTCGTAAACTAAAAAAGGTCTTTTAATTTAAGAAATGTGCATGGATAAATAGCACATATGTATTAATTAAAAGAAAAGAACAAAATCAAGATGAAAAATAAAATTAACTACTACTTTAAAAACTGTACAAGAAGGCAAAGAATGGAAAAAAGTTTAAATTTTTTGTTATGTTGTCGGACGGAACGAATAGAATAAAAAAAATGATTATCATATGGTTCTAAGCCATTATTATCACAATATCTAAGTGTAATCTACACTTTATTTTATAGCTAGCTAAAAAGTAAAACTAGATGCGTAAAGAATGAATTTATATTTAAAATATGTTTATCCACTTCATACAATTTACCACACATACTTTTTGAGGCAATCAGAGCTGGAAATCCAGAAGAATACGGCAATACCGCATTTCCTTATTGAGGATTTCAGTCTTTTAATCAAATAGAAAAGAAAAAAAACTAACAAAAGCAGATAATCATCTCCCTTTTTGCTCTAGTTGTTGTTTAAATTTTAAAATGCATTATTTTATTTTATTTTATTTTGAGATATTCCAATCGTAAAAAATCGTAAAATCGTAAAATCGTAAAAGCGTTTGGAATTTTGATGGAATCGTTTTGATTGAAAAAAATTGTAGAATTGTAAAATCGCAGATTTAAATTGAGATTTTAACTACCATGTTCGCGACTAATACGATTCGGGATGAGTCCCGGAATTAAGACTTTAAATTTCTTCCAAAGACAGGAAAGATCGAACATATGCTCCCACTCCTCACCTGCTCAGTTTCCTTGCATCAACTGAGCTACTATTATTTGATTAAAAAAAATACTCTCGATGCCTTGCGAGAATATATGAGAAATATAGAATTGGATTTAATAATCTACAAATGATGTCAGAATATTAACATTAGTACTTGTAATCTTACTGGATTCACTGGAGTGAATTAAGGAAAGAATTGACATAAATATTTAATGTATATGTACACAATAAAGATTGTGTGCGTGTGGATGGGGTTGCACGACGGAATATGGATGCTGATGCTGATGCTGATTTATTAATGTTGTTGGTGCCTTGGTGGTGTTCTCGTGGGGTTTGAAACTTTGGGCATCTCCTTCTCTTCATGTGGGTTGATGACACTAACCATGGTTTAAGCAAGTTGATCAAGTTTGGTTTAGATCTAGTTTTAGCACAAGCAGTTGGAAACTTGAGACTGAGGAGCTACAACCTATACATTAATATGATTATTTTAATTGTTATGATAATAAACATAGTCACATTCCATAAATGAGGGAGGAGGAATGGGCAAGTGGGAGATGGTGCCGCGGCGGGTGGATCCCACTCTTGTCTTTTTCTTCTCACCCTTCAATAATCCCTTCTTTTATTTTGTATTATAAATCATGTAAATACTATTTTTCATATTATAGAAAATAAATTTATTTTTAATATATAAAAATATGTGGAATTTATGTTAGCCAATATGAGAAGAAAATAGATAATAAGAAAATACGGGTCTTATATATTTTTATGTGTGTGTGAAAAATAAAATTTATCTCAAACAAAAAAAAATTAAACCCATAAACCATTAAATTGTAGATTAGAATTTATATGTTAATTAATAAATTATCTATGATCAGTATTATCAAGTAAACAGAAATTAAAATAACATACATCAAAAGGTGTTTCTAATACGTGATTTGTTTTTTTATGGGTCTTACATATATAGAAAATATTATAAATTAAAACAATAGAAAAAAGAAGTATTCTTTTAAAGGATACAAGCTTGTGTCCTTTTAGGTGATTTACACAAAATTTGACTGATAAGACTTTGTGTAAATCTGAAAAGTTATTTTTTTTTTCTTTTTCCAGTCACATTCCTGAAGTGTAAAGTGAATTTTTTTTCTTCAGATTTACACAAAATTTTACTGATCAGACTTTATGTAGGTCGTTAAAAAGGTACAACTTGTGTCTTTTTAAAGGACATCCACTGAACCCTAAAACAATATACAAATATCAATATCCTAGCTAGAATATTGGGGCTTTACACTGTATTAATATTAGGCTTATATTAAAAATTTGAGGCAGAAATGTGCTACATTCCCATAGCTAGTTTCGTTCTACTTAAATGAATATAGTTATTTTGTCTATGATTTTAGGTAATTCTATGTAAACGCATTTGTAGGTTGTAGTTTGATTCCAGCAGTGTGGGAGGCAAAACACGTGTTAGGATGGGAACTGGGGATGGGGATCGAAATAATTTGGTTAGGACGTTCCTAAATTATTTGCAATTATAATTGACCTAATAAGCAAGATTTTTATTGGTTATCTAATAAGCTAGGGTTATTTTTTTCATTAATAAAGGCTTAAAGGGGATGATACAATTAATACTAATAGTCAAATAAATTTAAGAGCTCCCAAAAAGCTAAGACATATATACTCTGCACTTGAATCTGACCAATTAATTAAGGTTGAGATAAAATGAAGATAGGTACATGCTTGTTTGGTTAGGGTTTCATAACGCGGCCATGTGTACCCTGAGTGCACTGTTGATTTAAAAAATAAATAAATAAAGGATGAAAAGTCTTGTAAAAATCA